AACTCGTTCGGTTGTTGTGACTGGTTTGCATATGTATCACAGATTTATTAACATCTTTTAGCAGACCTTTTTTAGGTTGTGGCAAATCAGTTCCTTTGTAGTAGGTAACATCGGGAGACTGTAAAGGTCCCTTATTCGGACAGATATTTTTTCGCACAAGCCATTTCATCATTGATTCTTTTGCACGCTGTCTGGCGATTCTGCACTGAGGGACTGTATCTAGTCTCTCCAAGTCTTCGAACTTTGGAGCAATAACAGAATTGACGTTTATCTGCTTGCACATGAGAATGAGGGTGACTTTGGATCATGTGTAATTTTCAACAATTCGATTCCGTGGTTAGCAAGCACTTCATTAAAACCATTTCCAGTGGTCAATAGGGGAAGCCGACCCTGAAGCATTCTCGAATTTACTGGATCTAGTATAGACAGTCCATGGTCAGTGGTGAGAAATTTACTGGGTATAATTGAGGATTCGTCATCTCTGATTAACAGATCACTTCCAAAAAATAGAAAGCTTATGATCAGTAATACTCGAAATGGGAACATTGATAGGCACAATTATAGCATCAGGATTTAATGACTTCAACTTCGCAACCGAAATGATGGACTTGAAATGCCATCGTCAGCAATAAAGTCGTGAAAAGCACCACTAGACAGGTATAATCGTTTTTGAACATGAATTGAAATACTCGAAGTAGTAAATAAGGATAGTATATGATTATAGGAACCACCCTAATTAATAGTATCAGGATCACAAAGTTTAAAATTACTTGGGACGAAATGAACGATAGTTTTACAAACTGACCGAATTTGTCCCATTTGACCACACTCAATGAATGCGAATTACGTGAATGAAGTCCGCAACGTGACAGGCGTTTACCGAACTTGTGCACACATTTTTTCAGCTTCGTATTTCATCAATGAATTATTTCTCATGCGTTCAAGAGAACGGAGATCATCGGTAACTCAACGTCTGTCCTCATGGCCTTGAGCATGAAACGGATTAGGATGCCAAAGTAGTGTATTTGAATCCATGATATCCTGGAAGTTAGGTTCATACATTATCACACAGTTATTGGATGCAGTTCTGACATCTTGGAAGGAACATTTAGGCATTTGTATAGGCTCACTTTCATATTTTGAACTTTACTTCTCGCAGTTAATCGATAACGAAGCCGAGCATGAAAAAACCATCAAAATTACACTTATTGGCTTGTTTCTGCTATTCGAGAATAAACTGTCCAACCTTTTGACTATTCGGATTCGTCACCCTATGAAAGTTTGTGCTCTTTCATAGCATCCGAAGTTTGTACGCATTGCATGACTTGGCGTTAGCGTTTTGAGAGTTGCATGAGGAAGCTAAATAAGTTCGTCCAGAAATACCAAATTCTTTAGTAAGCTGTAGACATCTTCACCGATTAATGTGAGGAAGTGACCCACAATTTTACCACCCATAATATATCCCTGGTCATACTCCAGATTTCAAACCTTCCCATGTAATTCACGAAAGTTTTTGCAATTCGAATGTGTATCTTAATTTTCAACAATAGTCTCCATCGTGACGTCAATACGATAATTAGAAGTATTCGAATTAATTTTATAACTAGGAATTCCAGAAATATTGCAATTTAAAGCAAGTAGAAGCAGGTGGGCACAAATGAAGGTATTATATTTGGATTTCGTAGTAAGTAGTCAATCAATCGATCAGTCATCAGTTAGTGCAAATACAACAGCAGAGCAATATTTTATCGAACAATCACCTTGAAGTAGCCTAACATCACAAAAGGGGGGAAGGTGAGTTTTATGACCAGAAAGCATTGATGGTGAGAGGGATGACTTCAATGCACTTATGTTTTTGAGGTAAAACATTTTGTGTGCATCAGGCTCTTTATGATTGAGTACGAGACATTGAGTCAGTGGTACTGAAGTTATTCTCCTTTTTTCTCTGCTCAGACTTATGTTTCCAGTTTTATGTTGGCTTTATTTCTCTACAAAATTACCTGTAACGTGCTAAGTGTTATATTTTTATGGTATGTTAACTATCACATGATAAGATCGTCGATTGGGACACTGACCTAGTAATCAGACAAATGGTGCACAATCCAGTACGAGCGGCCTAGAGTCTACTCTACTCACGTCGGGCTCACCAGATTTGTGGTGGACCTCAGCAAAAGAGCTTAGTTGAAATATAACAATTCGCAACGTTGCCAACAATATACCAAAAGAATTAACACTACGAACCTAAGCGTGTGTCTATGATTAACGCAAAAGGTAACAAATTACAGTTAAATTATAAAAAGGTATATTGAGCAACAAAATGGTAACAGTGTTATGAAATGAATGTTACTTGTAAGCTGCTTTCTGAGATAACAACCACAAATAAGTTCACTTGGTTAACAAAGATTCCTCTGCACGTGATGGCACCAACAGCAAAATGGAGAAGATTAGATCCAGTAGTATTATTCAGTAATGATCCAGGCCAAAACACCAACGTAGTGTGGAATGGTCTAAAAAGATGTTATAATACTATTATAATCTTCAATCAAAGGCCGTGGCCGTTAAAGCAGAAGAATAGACGGCGGATACAACGCTTATATTTTAAGAAGCGCGGTAGTGAAGTGTTATATATATAACCAAACAAAAGTATTCGTTTCTTTACCATTGATACAGAAAAACAATAAATATCGAATATGAGTGTGATTACATAAAAAGTGTGACAACTAGGAAAAATATGTGACCTTTAATTTGTTGTTACAAAAAATCACTAGACATAAATGTCACTATAGTTCTCATTGGTCCTCCAAGTTAGTAAATTCTCTCCTAACCCAGCTGGTTCAGTTCAGAACGCAAATTCAAGCTTCTTCCATATGAATCATGCATTTCAGAGAATTTTAGTTTATATGCAAGCAAACCATGCAGTATCATACCATAATATGGAAAATAACAATTGTAAAAGATCAAGTCAAAAAGTTTCTGTGATTGTGATAGACTGTAACTTTTGCGGATAACTTAAGAATAGTAAGTCGTATAATATTAGTCACAAGGGTCAAATGAAAGCTTATGATAAAAAGAAAATGAATACTCATGATTTAGCTACTTAACAATTATCCAATGGGAGTATATGTACTAATATTCTACAGAGAATTCCTAGTAGCTACCGTTCATTCATTCGTCGCTAAGATATAACATTAAAATAAGCTTTAACTTTGGTTATATCTTCATGAATGTTCTGCCGTTTCTCGCTGATTTTATCTATTTACAAAGATTGTTTTGGTATTATCTTATTTGAGGACCCACATTACTTATTGATCATACTAATAAAACTGGCGTGTACTTTCTACTACAGAAATGCATCACTATTATGTTTTGTTTTAAGTGTGGTAAAACAAATCCTCTCTGTTTTTTATGATTAATCATCACTTTGTTGTCAATGGTTCCAGCACCAAACCTTGCTACTTGAGGTAAGAATATTGTCATTAACTACTAGTCTTGTTTCTCAGCTTGTCTTAGTTCATGAAAGCCATCAATGCCCCAAACATACTCCTTAGGAGCTTCTATTCTCTTCAAGCTCTTTTAGATGTGTGATTCAACTTTCTGAGGAGCATTAATCAGGCTATTTGTGAGATGCAATTGTGATCTCAGTTAATAGGATAATTTACATAATCCTTAGTTACAGTTAAGTAATCCAAACAGACATATTGTCAAGATATTGTACCATATATTAGAAATCTCCGCACTCTAAAATGACATACAGGCAATGGAGGTGAGTTTATTCCCCCAATCGGATTACAGGGTATTCAAATCACGAAAACAACGGAGCATTTCTGGTTAGAATGATTATTTTTCTAACATTTCAGGACAGCCCTCCAAAATTTCACAAATTGATTAGCCTACATAGAGCTACCAACAATCGGAAAGACCCGAGTAAAAAATTTCTCTCGGATGTTTTCAAAAGAATGTGGGGCGGATGGAGAGATCCTGTTCGAAACTAATATTATCTGCTGTCAGCCGATTATGTGAAATCTATCCAGTTAAACAGTCTTTATAACTATCAAACTTTAAATTTGAAAATATGTGTTGCAATATATCTCATCTTCAGATATTATTTTCAGTACACTCTCAAAACAGTATTTGACACTATTTAGGGGATGACCTTTGTCCTGTTGGCTGTATATATATATACATAATTTTAATACGACATATCTGCATTATGTTATGAAAAGAATAAATTAGGTGGACAGATTCAGACAGGTTACTAGAGCATAATAAAGACTTAACATAAAGACAAATGGTTTTTTGTGCTAGTTGCAGAACGATAATAACTACATCTTAAGTACACTTGAATTGTTGCAGTGACGTAGATGAAGACTAGACATTCAGAATCATTTTTTCATAACAGTAGACCACCAGTACATCTTACAGTAAACTCTCTAGTCGTATGTCCTACTTACATCTAGTTGGCACGCAGATGTAGTGAGCAGAAATAACACCATCTTATCATACTGTACCGTACGTACGATTTGGAGCTCTTCATATCCATGGTGAGATTCTTCACACCTAGTTGTTACTGATATGATTTATGTAGTTTATGAAACGAAAGTTTCCTAATTTTCCCAGAATAGTATATAGCATGAGTTAGTAATGTGACAATTGTGATAATACACACTGAAATATCAAGGCCTCATGTTGCAAAAGGACTGATAATTATTCCAGTTAGGGTTTGCTAACTGTTTAGATGTAATGGAGTCCCAATTCAAAGACAGGAGAATTAGTGAAAGACACTACTGATATCATCCACTACGTCAGAAAGTTGACGAGTATAACTCACGAGATTCCTATCCACTTATTGTGTTTTCTAAGATCGACGGAGCAATTAAATATGCACTTACTACTTATTTACATTTTTCTACGAAGGATGTTGAAAGTGAGGCGGTCAATTTGGTTCTGTTTGTCTGTACTCGACGTTCCCGCTCTACTTGGTATCGTGTCCGTTGACATCCATGAGTACTTTTTCAGGTGAAAGGTTAGTCTTTGTCAATTAAAGCTAAAAACATAGAAGTCAAGACGACCAAAGTTCTACGAGGCATCGTTCACCTATCAAAAGGAGATCAAGAAGTCGTTCTCCTAATGTGAGTCGAGTGAGATCAAAACGCATAGTCATTGCAAACATCCCATATGATTTAAATTGGCAAAAGCTGAAGGAGTTGTTTAGAGAACAAAGTAAGTCAGGATATTGTGATGTTACGAAGTAGTCGGGTTTACTGGATTTCTACAGTTGTTTAAAAAAAATGGAAAACCAAACGGAATGGGGTAAGAAGTCATGTTTTGTCGTATTAACTTTTATTACTGTGAAGTTTGATGGAGTTCAAGACACTCGAAGGAGCACAAAAAGCTATTGAGACAATGCATCGGTTTGAAGTTGGAGACAGAAAGTTAGTTGTTCGACAAGAGACTGCTCGTGATGCTGCTCGCTTAGCATCAATGGAAGTTGACGGAGGGCTTCTAAGTGATTCTACAAACCCCAACGAGTCTGTAAATATGGCAGCAACAGGACCTGTTTTTACTCCTCAAATGTTAGGTCAGGTCGGCATAGACGGGCCAGTCACTGATTCTGTGTACGTCAGTAATGTAGGTTATATCTTCTCAAACTTATGTTAATACTTTTAGCTTGACTATAGTGTAACATGGCAAAAGCTTAAGGATGTCTTCAAATCGGCTGGGAAAATTCTCAGCGCGGTTATAAAAACAGACTCAGAAGGGAATTCTCGCGGTGTTGGCATATTAAAATTTTCGAATGCTTATGAAGCAGTCCAAGCAGTCAATATGTTTAATAACCAGGTATGTGTTTGGATTAATTGGGTCAGATTTTAAAATTGAGTAAGTATCTGTAACCATGTATCGGAGAAAAAGTGTGATGGGTATAGAAAGTCCCAAGTTTCCAAGTGGGTTTTAATAATTGGAAATGGTCTGTAGAAATGCCACATACCCCAACACCAGCATATAGATAAAATATTTCTCGTCTCTCCTGGTTGACTTATAAGTCTGTAAGGTGGAGAATCTCGAAGGTTTCTTACCAGAACCGAAGGTACTGGTGTATGTGCACTTTTGGACCACGCCTTTATAGTCAAATTAGTGTCATGTTTAATATTGGTGAATAATTGATATGAATCGACCACATATTCACCATTCGACAAGTTTTAGAGCACAGACATGCTTATCGGCGTCGGACAATGATAGTTTTTCTTGACTTGAAAGCAGCATTTGACTCTGTAGACCGAGAGGTTCTGTGTCAGTGTCTGTCATTGAAATGTGTACCTGAGAAGTACATAAACCTTGTGGAGGCTCTTTACTCGAACACTACCAGTCGAGTGAGTGCTTATGGCGAACTGTCATATGATTTTACAACCTCAAGTGGTGTCCGTCAAGGCTGTCCACTATCCCCATTTTTTGTTTAACTTCATTATAGACCTGTTGCTGGAAATAACATTCTCGTCGACTGAATTTTGAGGAATTGATATTCTACCAGGAGGTTCACTTATCGACTTAGAATACGCAGATGACATAGCCCTGTTTGGCGAAGACGCTGGCAAAATGCAGAGTCTTCTGTTAGAACTGAGTAATAATGCCAGGATGTTTGGGATGCGTTTCTCCCCATCCAAGTGTAAATTGTTACTCCAGGACTGGCCTGCGTCAACACCTGAACTAAGGATAGGGAGTGAAGTGGTCGAACGCTTCGACAACTTCACTTATCTTGGAAGTCTGATCAGCCCTAATGGGTTGGTGTCTGACGAAATCTCAGCACGGATTCAAAAAGCTCGTTTGACTTTTGCCAACTTACGTCACCTATGGCGAAGACGAGATATCCGTCTATCAATTAAGGGACGAGTATACTGCGCAGTAGTCCTCTCTGTTCTACTTTATGGCTGCGAGACATGGCCATTAAGAGTAGAAGATACTCGTAGGTTACTAGTATTTGACCACAGATGCCTTAGAAATATTGCTCGCATCTGCTCTGGTCACCAGGTAAGTAATAGTGAGGTTAGACGCAGGGTATTAGGAAATGATGGTAAATCAGTTGATGAGGTGATGAATCTTCATCAACTGAGATGGTTGGGCCACGTGTTACGTATGCCTGAACACCGATTACCACGACGCGCTATGATGACTAGTGTAGGGAATGGTTGGAAGAGAGTTAGGGGCGGCCAAACCAAAACGTGGCATCAGTGCTTGAAGTTACTAACTTCTAGTCTGAGCCATGTTGGCAGATGCAGACTACCTGGTTGGGGTCCGCGTGACTATCGTAACCAATGGTTTGGAGACTGGGTGTTTTATTTATTTATTTAAACACATATATATTGGTACAAAAGGGCACCAGGTACATATGCGCCACACAGATACATATGCGCCACACAAATAGAATTCATCATTTCATTTATTTGTGTGTGGGCTGTGATACTGCCCGGGTGCCCAAAACGAAGCAGGTGGTTTTCTTAAGGTTCCACACCCCGAGCCTTTGACCAAAGGTCTGATCCACAAGGCAGTGGAGCATCGTGAGGAGATGCAGTCCCATGGTAGCCGTTGACCAATGACAGGTTCGTCCGCCATTTGTTCCATCAGGATACTGGAACCCATGTGCACCATTGGTTTGAAATCAGGGTTTCCCAACTCCCCTAGGTGAACTTCCGTGTCCACCAACCCGGTTAAAGCGCCTGACATTCGCTTTTCATTCTCTCACTTTCGTAAACAACAGTAATGCCCAGAGAAGGCAGTGAGTAGGACTTCCCTGTCAGAGGCTATATATTCGCTGGCCATGTGAGAGCATTTCGAGAGGGAGAGTAAACTCTCCCCACTCTCGGCCGTACCAGGGCATTTGGGGGCAGACTCTGGGTGACATGGCTGAGAATCGATCACAGTGTCGTATGTGTATGCACTCTTTATCTTCCCTTAAACCTTGAGATTAAAATTGCTTCATAACTTTTTTCCTTCCTATACTATATCCTTATATGCAACCTTTCTTTATATACTACCACCACTAAATTAATTACTTCTATGAATCCGGTATTGATCTTGTTGTGCTAACGAGGTATGACAACTTGGACTGATGCATGTGTGCCTGGTCCTACGTTGTAGCTGACTAACTAACTGAATGATTGATATTTGAATGCAATATCCTTATCAATTAACTTGAGGTCTTCGTCGATACAATACATCAACCTATAGCTGGTACTTCACATCCGTTAACCTTCCACTAACATAATGTTTTAGAGTGTGATAGTGTATGCCACTTTCTGGGTTTTTGGATAATATTGTTTATCTCATCAAACATGTCTTTGTCCCATTATTGATAAAATGCTTCTGGGAGTTTGGCTGTGCAATTTTTCCTTTTCGTTCCTAATTATTGACATTTCTATAGTAGTTTCACATTTAACGCTTCGTGGCTCATGAAGTTTAAAATCATACAGCTTTTGAGGGTGAGACTATAATTTATGGACGACCTTTGAGCGACGCCAGACTGACTTTGAGAGTGTTCACCTAATGATCAGGGTCAAATAAGGGTTATAAACCTGTGCGAGGAATTTGAATTATGATTCGCAGTTGATAATTGTGGTTAGAAATTAGATTTAGGGTTTACATCATCAGCTGACATCAACTATTATGCCAAAACTCTATTTAGTGAAAATGGTGAGTGATCGGCTCGTCCATAAATTAAACTATTGCCTTTTTAAGTTTATATTTTATTCATTTCAGTTGTTATTTATTTTTTGCGCCAGATATTAAAAGATAGACCAATGCGTGTGAAGATTGATCGTCAGGGTACTCCTGCTCCAGTAAACATACTTTATCCTCCATCACAAAGAACAGGCTCATCTGGAATTCTGGGTTCCACTAGTTCAATGATCCCCTCCAATCCTATTCTGAATGACCAGCAACAGTCTTCAAATATTATTGCTGCTCTTGTGACTTTACTTGGTTTGAAAACAAATGCCGATTCAAATCCTCAGAGTGGCATAATTGACGTTCTTCGTAATTTGGCGTCAAATGCAAATCCTTCTGGGGGTCTGAATACTTTGGGAACTACTGGATCATCTAATAACTCTTCTAACTTTACTGGTCAGTCGTTGTCATCAATCCCAGATGCTTCTCCAGGTATGAATTTTGTAAAATACATTTATATTCTCTGTTATTTCTAAGACTTATAAACATCGTCTGTGTGCTAGTTTTACATTTTATTATTTAGAATAATATAGAAATCTAAGGTTTCACTTATTTTCCATCAGGTGTACGTGTAACTTGAGCAGGCATACCGCCCAGGTAGGCAGCTTAAATCAAACAGAAAGACATGTAGGTGGGTGTTTTAGTATTCCGGCTCAACGAACCGATAATGGTGATCATCTGTTGCAACTATGCTCAGACAATCGTTTATTTTTAGCAAGCACTAATTTTAAGCATAAGGAGAGACATCGTCTAACATGGCGACCACCTTCACCAAACCAACGATGAACTCAAATAGACCATATTGTCATCAGTCATCGTTGGAGAGGGTCAATAGAAGATTGTCGCTCGTATTGGAACACTTGTTTATATTCTGATCACGCTTTAATACGAACGCGCATTTGTCTGCGCCTCAATGGACGCAGGAAAAGTACACTAAGAAGACCCATTAGGATTGAACTGGAGGACGAGAAAGCCAAATGCGAATTCCAGAAACAACTGAGTTCACATCTAGGCAGTTCTGTTAACGAGACTGACCCAAATGCTGCTTGGAAAGACACACGAACAGCTGTGGAAACAGCAGTAACATCTATTAGTTATTTAAATCATAGGGCTCCAAAAAACCAGTGGATATCTTCTAAGTCTATTTCACTGATGGATTCGCGTAAACTCATCCCATCAGGCTCTGAACACGACGAAGAGCGTAAACAAATTAGATCTAGGTTAACTAAAAGTCTAAGGAACGATCGTGAGCAGTGGTGGGCAACGAAAGCAAAAGAGATGGAAAAGGCAGCGGCTGTAGGCAACACCAGACAACTATTCAGACTAATCAAAGAAACCGGAATTAAGAAGTCAGGTGTAAGTGAGACAATCTCGGAAAAAGACGGGACCCTTATCTGCTCTCAACCCAAACGTTTAGAACGATGGGCGGAACACTTTAAGGAGCAGTTTAGCTGGCCTTCAGCTACTGCACAACTACCCACTATTCCCAGAAAACCTGAATGGAACATTGAAGTAGGCCCCCCGACCCTACTTGAAGTTCAAAAAGGTTATAAGTAGTCTGAAACGAGGAAGAGCAGCTGGTTCAGATGGATTGGCTCCAGAGGTCTTTAAATATGGTGGTCCAATTTTAGCGATTAGGCTGACTAATATTCTAGCTAAAATCTGGGAGACGGACGTAATCCCATCTGACTGGTCACAATCACTTATTGTCCCAATATATAAGAAGGGGCCAAAATCAACCTGTGATAACTATAGAGGGATTAGTCTGACTAACATAGTATCTAAAATACTAGCCTCAATAATTATCGGGCGCCTAACTAAGACTCGTGAACTGCAAACACGAGAAAATCAGGCTGGCTTCAGACCTAGTCGTGGCTGTATCGACCACATATTCACCATTCGACAAGTTTTAGAGCACAGACATGCTTATCGGCGTCGGACAATGATAGTTTTTCTTGACTTGAAAGCAGCATTTGACTCTGTAGACCGAGAGGTTCTGTGTCAGTGTCTGTCATTGAAATGTGTACCTGAGAAGTACATAAACCTTGTGGAGGCTCTTTACTCGAACACTACCAGTCGAGTGAGTGCTTATGGCGAACTGTCATATGATTTTACAACCTCAAGTGGTGTCCGTCAAGGCTGTCCACTATCCCCATTTTTTGTTTAACTTCATTATAGACCTGTTGCTGGAAATAACATTCTCGTCGACTGAATTTTGAGGAATTGATATTCTACCAGGAGGTTCACTTATCGACTTAGAATACGCAGATGACATAGCCCTGTTTGGCGAAGACGCTGGCAAAATGCAGAGTCTTCTGTTAGAACTGAGTAATAATGCCAGGATGTTTGGGATGCGTTTCTCCCCATCCAAGTGTAAATTGTTACTCCAGGACTGGCCTGCGTCAACACCTGAACTAAGGATAGGGAGTGAAGTGGTCGAACGCTTCGACAACTTCACTTATCTTGGAAGTCTGATCAGCCCTAATGGGTTGGTGTCTGACGAAATCTCAGCACGGATTCAAAAAGCTCGTTTGACTTTTGCCAACTTACGTCACCTATGGCGAAGACGAGATATCCGTCTATCAATTAAGGGACGAGTATACTGCGCAGTAGTCCTCTCTGTTCTACTTTATGGCTGCGAGACATGGCCATTAAGAGTAGAAGATACTCGTAGGTTACTAGTATTTGACCACAGATGCCTTAGAAATATTGCTCGCATCTGCTCTGGTCACCAGGTAAGTAATAGTGAGGTTAGACGCAGGGTATTAGGAAATGATGGTAAATCAGTTGATGAGGTGATGAATCTTCATCAACTGAGATGGTTGGGCCACGTGTTACGTATGCCTGAACACCGATTACCACGACGCGCTATGATGACTAGTGTAGGGAATGGTTGGAAGAGAGTTAGGGGCGGCCAAACCAAAACGTGGCATCAGTGCTTGAAGTTACTAACTTCTAGTCTGAGCCATGTTGGCAGATGCAGACTACCTGGTTGGGGTCCGCGTGACTATCGTAACCAATGGTTGGAGACTCTAGGTGACATGGCTGAGAATCGATCACAAGGGTGTAAGTGTATGCACTCTTTATCTTCCCTTAAACCTTGAGATTAAAATTGCTTCATAACTTTTTTCCTTCCTATACTATATCCTTATATGCAACCTTTCTTTATATACTACCACCACTAAATTAATTACTTCTATAAATCCGGTATTGATCTTGTTGTGCTAACGAGGTATGACAACTTGGACCGATGCATAAATGTGCCTGGTCCTACGTTGTAGCTGACTGACTGACTGAGGCATATCGCCCTCGACCTGCATTTAGTCTGTCAAAATCAATCGATGCAGATTTTAAAGAAAAATCGTTATTCATTGAGATCATGAATCGGTCAGTGTTAGACCGCCATTGAAAGCCTGGAAGCACTAGACAGCCGTTTTATCCTAGTATGGAACTCCTTAGCAGTGCGCATCTAAGATCCCGCACGCGGGACTCGAACCCATGACCTTCGTTCTCACGCAGACGCTTAACCTCATTTCACTTCTCAGTTATATCATTGTTCTCAGCCCATATAAACTAAACAATTGAAGCCTACATACAAATTGATCAGTATCGTCACCAGTTGTGATAAGGGTAAGAAATAGCGCTTAGTTTGCCTACTACCTAATGACAGTTCTTTATTTTCAGTATCGTGTGTTTCCGGAAATGACTAATAGACTGAAATTTACTAATATTTACTTCCTAAGGTTACGGTTGCCTTGTAGGGCAATATTATCGTCAAGTTGTATGTATGGTAGATCAAGTATTCATTCCTATGTTCCACTTTTAAACCTTATGAAACTGTTACATTGTTCGTTCTTAACAGTGATTTCTATGTTTGTTGTCGTTGTTCAAATGTTCACCTATCTAATTTTTCATATTTGTTTAAGGCTCAGGAATCAATCGATCCTACTCAGGTCAACTCCCTCAAGATGGATTACAACAATTAATTTCAGCAGCTGTTGCTGGTGGAATGTCTCAGACACAAATAACCTCTGTATTGTCGACACTAGGTTTATTTCAGGTATGTATACATATCTACGAATACTTTAAAAAATAGTACGGTTTGTCCAAAAATACTCTATCTATGCTACGAAATTTTTGAACTAAAAGACTTTTACATAATTCAGAATCGTTCGTAGCAGCCGAGGTGCATTCACTTCTTGTCTTCCTTTTGAATCTGAGTCTGGGTATCTCCTTAAACCTCTTTATTATTTCTATGCCTCCATTCACTTATTAATCACCTCACCTTATCCTACGGATTTGCGTCTGGCGGTAAGGTCCCAACAAGTACGGAGCTAACCCAAAAATTACTGACAAAAACTTCGTGTGTGATCAGCCTCAAGCAGTTGTCTCTTCGGCACTGAGGTCACGCTGTCAGGTCACTAAGACCATCTCTAACCCGATTTTATTTTCAGGTATCTGTGGAAGAACCCAACCCTTCCTTGTAGGAGCGCAGAATCGCTGTTATACTGGTTGTCTGAATGAAACATCTTACTACCATCACGCCTCTGTACAGCATTACGACTTCGCTATCAGACCTTGGGTTGGCTGCTTTTATCCTTATCGCTTTTGAACCGACCTATCTGGCATGGTAGGACCTTAAGGAAGGATTGTTATAGCCATTATAGTCCGGTCGGTTCATCACGATAGAAAAGCCCATTCACCACGTCAAGGTAACAGCAACAGTCCGGTTATTAGTCGGTATAGGGTCTTAATTTCATTATGCGCACATTGTCTATCCAATACATATATGATAATCCGCATACACGTTTGTGTTAATTGTTATTTCTGATCTGTAATTCGATCACTACTCCAGATTATACTCTACACTCATCGGACAGCCCCCTAAGGTATCGTTTGGCGAATGTTACAGCTAATATAGAATATTTTGAAGGCTATTGATGAGGCCTAAATTTTGCATACGCTCTTATAACCACCTCATATTTATTAAAAATCCGCTTATTTTCATTAGATGTTTATTTTTTTATTAGCTCTTATAGAATTTATCGGCATAGTTGCAAGCAGGTTCTTATTTTTGCACACGGTTACATTTGTAGGTAGTACCAGCCGTTTCTGTTTTCGGAGCTAATTACTTTATTTAGCAATGTATTTCCAGGTTTTCCATGGTGGTCTAGCTTCAATTGACTCACGCTTTCAACTATGAAAAATACTAAATCTCCACAAAACCTCTTCTGATATTTATGCATTTGTTGTTTAAAGCTTCTGATGCTCCATTGTTGGATTTAATCTGCGTGCGTGTATGTTTTGTTCGATTGTTGTTTTGTGTCTACCAGAATTTTAATGATTACTAACTAGAGGACTAACTTATTCGTTGTCTCAATGAGTGATATCAAATAATTCTGTCCAATCTGTTGAATTCTACCATTGGAATCAGGGAGATGATAGACATTTTTCTTGTTAGTCATACAGATTCCTGGGTTCAGACAGAAAGGAAACTATTCCATAGATTTTGAAGTAAAATAATTCAATAGCTTGATCTCTTAATTGTTGACTATTCTACAGTGTTTAAATCGGATTTTTTCAAAACTGGAGTTGGTTACACGAACAGAATTATTCATTTTGTGTTCTGAAAACTTCTTGACTTTAGTAGATTTGAAAAAAGGAAGGATTTGCATGTGCATATGTATGTAGTTGATGTCATTCTTCTCTTAGAATAGTCATCTTATTCTCACAACACTCAACAAGTTTATCCAGTAAGTTTCGGTTTTTTAAGTCAAAGATTTACATTGTCTAGTTTGCCTGTTTTCTAACACTTATTATCAGTATGTGTTTCGAGTAGTTGCGTGTATTTAAAGTGGTTGTATTGGAGACAAGAAAAATGTTTGTTAATTATTCTGGGGAATACTGTGTGTGGATTATGGTGTCAGGACAAATAAACGATTTTTAACAAAATATACAATCAACTTATACAGTATCTGGTGTCGTTAGTTCATTCAGTTGTGTCACTCTTCTCATATCTTCACATATTATATTATACATACATATGTATGCGTGTAGAATTCTCATTCGGATCATCAGTCTGGTCAGTTAAATGCTTCAAATATTATTGGTCGAGATGGTGGTGGTGGGTGTGGTGACCGAAGCGTTGATAGATCACATTTTGACAATGGATATGTTGGTCGTTCAAAGTATGAAATTTCAGGTGAGCCAGACTGTGATCTTGTGTTGTTGTGTACTACATAAGTTCGATTTCGTTGATTTGTAAATCTCTGTTATTCTCCACGGATGTTTTCCCACTACAGCTAGTTCTAACTGATATTTTTATTGATATTATCTATGACTATCACAGCTTTGTGTATATCTATAGTCGTCAATATTTATAAATCAAAGTTTTTGAAGGTATTTTTTTTGTTTTCCGTGATGGAACTTACAATACCTCCCGTATCTTTTAGTCAGAGTTCTGGTGTCATTTTAGGCTTTTGTACAGCAGTTCTTGGATGTTTTTGAATGGTCAACAATGTAGTGCTGATGTTCATTTCACTTCCCCTACACAGTATACTATTTGATTCGATCATGCGTTCCAAACTCTCTGGTAGTTATATACCTATTTCCTTTTGACATAATGTTTCCAAATGGATCTATTCGCATCATAGTTTATTTATTCTTGTCATAATCCAATCAAAATACATTTAGACTTATCAAAACTGATCACACTCAACACTTCCAATCTTTTCATGTTCACTTCATTGAGGATGGTCTGAGTGAATTGTCCAACTAAGTATAAATCTCAGTATTCGTATGTGTATATATATTGGATGTAGCTTAGTTGACGGAGTATTAGAATGTGGAGTTGTTTTCATATAGTATTATATATTTGTTTTTATTCTTCTAATGATAACACATTGGTTAAGTACAACAACCTGTTCGCTTTGCCTAGTAGCATGTTTATCATGCTTCTATTTTCTTTTTAAAGTAATAAAACATTTCTTTTCGCGTAGTAACGTTACGACTTTACATCAAATAACTAAAGTATATTTTTTCTGGATGCTAATTTTGCCAAGTTTCTTCGTTTGTGTATGAGTTATGGTCTAAACAATTAAATCATATTGACAACTTTATATTTTTGATATTTCCATTTGTTTGGTTATTATTGGTAGTGTTAATGATAATAATCTTCATTTATTAGGTAATTATCGAGTAGATTCTCGGAGTAGCAGACAAGATTCATATAATATGGGTGGTTCTTTAATGAAACCATCAGGGTCGCCTAATCTTTCAGGCCGTGGAAGTTACTCTAGATCATCTGATCGAGGACGTGATGAAAATGGTCCACAACATAACAATGATCGACGTCAGATACCTGAAAAAGTAGTTGTGAAGAATGTAAGATTTTCTTTTAGTTTAATTTTATGACCTAATGTAAGTTTAAGAAATCTGTTGTAAGTAGATTCATATATCCTGGTTTTCAAAATGGTACTGGGGTTGTTGCGTGTTGAATATCATTTACCAATATTTTTTCTATGCTTAGGTTTTTTACTGTCATCATGTTTTAATTATTTCGATATCTTTTTCATCCTCTTCTGTTTAATCTCCTTTTCTCTTCCTCTGCCCCGAAGTGATATGTGACAGCTTGGACCAGTGCATATTTGTGCCTAGATCCTAAGTTGTTCTATAGTTCACTTATTGATTGACTCAACATCTGAGAGATTTTAGAATTTTGTTGTTGAGTTCTTTGAGTTAGATGGTCTTTATTTTCATTATGGACAACATCAACATTTACTTCTGGTAGAAGTGAGCTTCGATTATTCCACATTACTTGTAAAATATCTCTATCTTTACCTAAATTATTTTAATAGGTTTATTTGCTCGTAATTTCTATCAAGAATGGTTATCAAATAACTACTATGTCACAGTAATAATAATATTTTGGCGTTACTTATTGAGAAATTTTTATGTATCCTATCTATTTTTAGCTTCCATTCTCATTTGATTCACATGATGTGAAAAGAATATTTAGAGAAGTTGGAGATTTAAACACTTGTAATCTGGTAACAGACGCTCAAGGCCACTCTCAAGGGATCGCATTTCTCACCTATGCAGATATTGATGGTATTTATCGTGCAATAGGTTAGTTTTTGAATGTAAAGTTAATTACGCATATTTTTTTTGTGTAGTACATGGTGTATTGTGTTTTTAGACAATAATGTACTGCGTATGTGCGTCCACATGTTTTTTTTTATAGGCATTCTTGTCTGATGTTGTAACTGACAAATTTAGTCTGATTTGGCACACTAAAGAAACGCTTGATGTAGCAACATTTAGGAAATATGTATCTTGACTTGTAGTTTAAGGACACTGAATAAAAGTTGATCACTTTAAAAACAATCACAAATCTTCGGATGAACAATGTAGCTTACGACAGCTTCACCTTCTAGCTCTACAATCATAGATCTACGAACTTATGCATAATAGTAAACAGTTTGCTAGGGTTATGATTGAGATATCCAGTGTGTTATAACTTGAAAGTAGGTTACACGTCGATTATATCCTAAATACTATTTATGCTGTGGTGTTTACTTATTTTATCGTGTTTACTTGATGGCTCTTGTAAAATCGTCTCTCTTGTTACTTGGGTGCGGTTGTCATCTTTAAAGTGTCTTTGTGTATTAGGTGTAGCATCACTATCAGACAAATCATGAGCGGCAAAGCAACAGGACCAGACAACATTCCGGCAGAGGCTTCGAATGCAGATGCAGCAGCAACTGCAAAGATACTCCACATTCTCTTCACTAAGATTTGGGATGAAGAACAAGCGCCAACAGGCTGGAAAGAGGGACTTCTGATCAAAATACCAAAGAAAGGCGATCTCAGCAAGTGTGATAACTACAGGGGTATCACTCTTCTCTCAATACCAGGAAAAGTCTTCAACAGGGTATTGTTAAACAGAATGAGCGACTCCGTAAACGCCCAACTTCGAGACCAACAGGCTGGATTTCGTAAGGATCGATCGTGTAGAGACCAAATCGCAACTCTACGGAGCATTATGGAACAATCAATTGAATGGAATTCATCACTATACATCGACTTCATTGACTACGAGAAAGCATTTGATATCGTGGACAGGACAACACCATGGGGGCTTTTTCGACACTACGGTGTGCCTTAGAAGATAGTCAATATCATATGGAATTCCTATAATGAATTAAACTGCAAGATTGTGCATGGAGGACAACTCACTGACTCGTTTGTGGTAAAGACCGTTGTCAGACAAGGTTGCTTACTCTCACCCTTACTCTTTCTCCTGGTGATCGACTGGATCATGAAGACGTCACCATCTGGAGGGAAGCATGGGATACAATAGACAGCTAGGATGCAGCTGGACGATTTAGACTTCGCAGATGATCTGGCTTTTCTATCACACACGCAACAACAAATACAGGAGAAGACGACCAGTGTAACAGTAGCCTCAGCAGCAGTAGGCCTCAATATAAACAAAGGGAAAAGCAAGACTCTCTGATACAATACAATATGCACCAATCGAATTACACTTGACGGAGAAGCTTTGGAGGATGTAAAAACCTTTAAATATCTGGGCAGCATCATTGATGAACATGGTGGATCTGATGCAGTTGTGAAGACGCGGATCGGCAAAGCAAGAGCAGCATATTTACAACTGAAGAACATCTGAAACTCAAAACAATTGTCAACCAACACCAAGATCAGAATTTTCAATACAAATGTCAAGACAGTTATACTGTATGGGGCGGAAACCTGGAGAACTTCGAAGGCCATCATCCAAGAGATACAGGCGTTTATTAACAGTTGTCTACGCAAAATACTTTGGATCCGTTCGCCAGGCACTATCAGGAACATTCTACTGTGGGAGAAAACAAACCAGATTTCAGCGGAAGAAGAAATCAGGAAGAAGCGCTGGAAGTGGATAGAACACATATTGAGGAAATCACCCAACTGCGTCACAAGGCAAGCTCTCACATGGAATCCTGAAGACCAAAGAACACATTACGCCGAGAAATCGATACAGACATGAGAAGAACGAACAAAAGTTGGATGGAACTATAAAGAAAGACCCAGGACAGAGTGGCTTTGAGAATGCTGGTCTGCAGCCTATACTCCATTGGGAGTAACAGGCGTAAGTAAGTAAGTGTATTAGGCGTTGATTTAATTAGCCACATTGTATCGATTATTGTATTGTCTGTCTCAAAGTCTTATCTTCTATTCCAACTTATGCAAATCATAACACTGACTCACATGACCAGATATGTCTTAAAGTCAAGCGCTTTTCGCCGTCTGCCTCAAATAATTAAATATTACACAAAGTGATGTCAAGTTATGTAAACTAGTGGGGTTACATTAGAATTTGCTTGCTAGAATAAATAGTGGACAATGTTACATTAGGACTTAAATGTTGACTAACTTATTAACTACGGTTGTGATGCCAATCGTGAACTTAATAACTCAGTGATGTTTCTGACTATGCCAACGGATGATCTACGATCACCAAACAAGTGAGTACATTGCTATTCGATCAGTAAACTTAATCAGCGCTCAGTATTAGATATTGATGTTACACATAGTTCTTCTACACGATGGCTTTGAAGTGCTTCTGTTCAACTTACTTATTTGTATAAATCTAAAACACTTCTCACTTCTTTGTGATGTTTTCTTTACTTAATGAGGTCTGTGTTGGACTGTAATTCTGTGGATTTAATGGTCCTAGTAGTAGCTAACAGCATACAAGAAATGAGTACCCGTTCCTGACAATTGTACTTCAAGTTAATGAAGACTAGACTTTTAGGCCAGACCTTTTACTGTTTCCATACAATCCATTTGTATTGTGCTACTAAACTCTATGCATAGTTTGTTATTATTAGCCTTAGAAAACATGAGAGGGGAAAGTACAAAAGTATTAACAAACCAGTTGGAAATAGAATAATGGATCACAAGAGGAAATGAAAGGAACGTTTTAGTGGGTATTGCTAGCATATTAATCACTCAGTAGAATAACTGACAACGAGGTAGAGGAAATCAACGATCCCTTTTTCTCATGAATATACTCTATTCTTTCTTTAAATAGATGCTTTTGACGGTAAAATGTTTGAAGGACGACGTCTTCGAGTGCATGCTGAATAATAATATTAAGTGAGTCACTGATCATTAATTTCAGAACCTTGATTAGTTGAGTGTTGTCATTTTATTCTTATTAGTAGTTTAGTACTGTGAGTGAATTATTTTGTCCTAAGCGCTAACAGTAGTGTTGGAGTGGTGGTGGCTTAGTGGTTGAGATGTCCAACTTTTAGCCAGTAAAATTCATATTCGAACCTCACTCCACCTACTTCAGTTTGAGCAACCGGCGATTATCACTAGGCCCTAAGTACCTCGTGAATGAGTTGAATTTATTATTTTTATGTAGTGGTTCTCTCTTAACTCCACTTTACCTACTATGTGTATTTTTATTTTAGTTCATACCATTTTTATGACCAGTTCTATTGTTAAAACATTTTTTTCTCGAACATTAAATGTTGTAAATTTCAAATGAAAGAAACAGTGAGGTTGGTTCTACCAGGTGCTGCGTTATTTACACCCAAGTTTTTCATTATAAGCATTCGCGTAAGATTTTAAACCTTCCATAGAAATATAAGAGTCTACTTATATAATTAATATACACAGTTAACAAGCTAAAACCATATCTAAAACAAGAAGTTCGATAGACTGTGTTTAAAACGGTATCCAATTGTTCACTGAAACTGTTTTCAAAAGAAAAAGTTTCAAAAAGAATTACCGTGGTTGAAAAGTGTCTACGAAATGAGTTTATCGTCAAGTATAGAAAAACAAAGAAGAAAAGAACAGAAATTACTATGGTCGAATAAAACCCAGCTTATATTTTACAACTTTGTTTCAAAGATGATGAAGTAGCCAGTATTATTCATTCTAGACTAAGTGCTTTACTGAAAAGGACGTATCTAACCACTAAACTAGTTTAGTTGTATCAAACAAATTGTTCATCGAGACAGACTAAATGGATAAATTTCCAACTTATGCTATCTGCAATTGTATTTACCAGTTTACTTATTCGTACCATAGTACTTATATTACAGAAACAGAAGTGTGGGGGGTTCTTGTTCGAATCTCAGAGTAAATTTCATAAAAAATTAGGATTGAAAGGTCAACGTATTTTCAGTAGTGCCACTGTCCGTTATCTGCTTAATAGTGGATACTATGTTTATCATTTGAACTCGTTCAAGATGATCAATACCCAAACAAATTCAAATTTACTACGTTTTATTACACGGAGGCTATCATTATTAAACCCATGTATTCAAAAAGATGGAGTTGTAAATCTTCCATTACCCTCTTTTTTATCATTCAGTTACGTAATATCTTGTTTCGTTATCTCTATAACAAATTTCTTTATGTGATTCCTGGTTCATTTTTCGAGGTTGACTCATCTTACTCTGTAAATCTTTCGAATTTTATGGTTGTTATTGTGTAACTTTGACATCAGATCTCCTTCTCTGGAAACGTGTCTTCATGTGTTAAAATTTCTTTTCTAGGATTTTTAAGTTTAATAACATGTGAATATTCATTCACTTTACAATTGTTCCATGACTTGTTTTTATTCCACTAGTCTTCATTATTATGATATAAAGTATGTAATTTGATTATAAATAATTACTATTGTTTCTAAGTATTATTTTATTCTGTTTAAACAAATATTGGCACAAGGAGGCACCAAATAGATATGCGCCACATTTCACCATTCGATTTGTGTGAGTACTGAGATACTGCCCGGTCACCCAAACCGAAGCAGGGGGTTTTCTTAGGGTCCATTCCCCGAGCCTTTGATCTAGAGGTCCAATTCCCAAAGCAATAGAGCAGTGTCAGAGGATGCAGTCCCATGGTAGCCGTTGGCCAACAATGGGTTTATAGGCTTTTTGTTCCTTCAATATTCTTGAGCCCATGTGCACCATTGGTTTTGAATGAGGGTTTTTTAAGTCCCTTAGGTGGATCTTCCATATCCACTAACCCGGTTAAGGCGCTGGTCATTCACTTTTGGCCCTCCTAATTTCGTAAATAAACCCCCCGCCATGATAAGGCTGTGAATAGGACTTCCCTGGTAGTGGCTGTATACGCTTGGCTATGTGAAAGCATTTTGAGAGAGAGATCGGACTCTTCCCACCCTCGGTCGTACCAAGACATTTGGGTGTATTGCATCTAAGTTACTCCAAGAATTACAATACCAACAACTATCTCGATTAACAAACTTCAAGAGCATCTTAACGTTTAGTAAATTTAATGCATTATTATTTCGAATTAGTGACCACTGTCACGCTTGTTTAGTATTTTAAGTGTTGATCCAATTATATGGATCAAGTTCTAATGTGACCACTAGTCTAGGTGACTTGATACTGTGTGTACTATGTCGAGACGTTATATGTAGTCGACAGGGTAACCTGAACTAACAAGACATTAACGACTAGGCAGTGACCAATCAATTATAAATCTTCAACTTCTTTATAAGAGAGGTCTGTTGTTGCTCGTCTTGATCAGACTTTGAAGCAGGGAGATTAGGGTTCGAATCCTACAGACAGCATCAATTCCCGAAACACTACTTGCCGCCTTCAAGTGACCATTCCTATCTTATTAATCATACTAACCAAAATATTTTTTATGGATATTTCAATGAAACATATTGTCTGTTGTCTTCTTTTCTTTATTATAGGTTGGATTACGACTAATCTTACTTTTACAAAATATGTATTCGTATTATACTAACAGTTATGCACCGTCGAATGTTGTCATCGTTTCCTCTAGTTTGTTACAACGCTCATTTCATCTTTACTGTATATCGATATTATTGTTATGTTTTCACTTGTGAATGAACATTATTTGTTAGGCATATGAAATTCTTTTCATTGCTTACATGATAACAATGATAGTAGTAATAATCACAGATGAATATGGGTATATAAAATGTTCTTTTTTGTTTCCTACCATTTCCCAATTTTCTACCTTTTTATCTTTATTGTTGTCGCCCGCCGCATTTCTCATTGTCTGTTTGTTAGTGTTTGTCATTCTCACTTTCATGCTGTTATTACCGTTCTTCAAATAAAAAATAACCATAATAATAAATAGTAAGGAAATATAACCTTTTTCTATTATGTTTCTGTATTGTTAACTTGTAATGTAAATTAGTGATTATTATGAAAATATCCCTCCACCTATCCTTAATGGATAATCTCAAACTATCTTTAGAGTATGCAATCCTATGCGTTCACTTTTGATATTCCAATGCAAAGTCAAAGCAGATAGTGTTGATTGATTCAAGAGTGAGGGAGGAAGTTACCAACAGGGTGACTTTGATTGGTGTGGCTACATTATAACATAGGTTGTTTGAATTCATGAAATATTAGTCATTTTATCGGCTCCGGTGAATCGTTTTTTTGGAATAAACCACTCTATTTCAATTTATTGGTTTGAGAGTAATGCAATCATGTGCTGTCGAGGAGGTCACATTAAGACGAAATGCCAATCCAGTGCCTTCTGGTTCCCAGTGATAGTTCAACTTAATCTGCCCGATTGTGTAATCAACGTGCAAACTGAACAATCTATACACACTTCTCACAATTTTTCCGTAATAATAATCGCTTATAATTTGAAAAATGTTCATATTGTGATTTAGAACAACATATATAAGTAAACAATATTGTTTTCGATTAGATCCTCATCAGGCTTTACTCTAATATACATGAATATTTATATGCATATACGAGATTAATAAACCAATCAAGATAGTTTATGTAACATTGATTCAAGCCTTTTATTATTCTTATCACAACTAGTACACCTGTCATTACACTACCAATCTGTACTTTTCACTTATTATTAATTTTCATTATGTAATCTATTCCACTGTTATCATTGACTGATAAATTGCCTTGATTGGTTTAATAATTTCGTATATGCATATAAATATTATTATTATTACTGATAAGGATCTAATCGAAAACAATATTGTTTGCTTATATATGTTGTTCTAAAGTTCAATACATTGAGTTGGAGAGTACTTAATATTAATTAACCAATAACTTAATGGATGGACGCAATGTACAACATATAGGAGTTAAAATACTACTTTTCACCGGCGAATACAATTAAGTTACGGAGTTACATATTGACTCTTTTCCTGGGATTAACTGTCACTGATCGCATTTCATGAAACCATTATACTAATGATAATAATAACTGTATCCGGAATAAGACCGTTGGAAATTTCGAGGGTTGCGGGGAATGTCATGAATTAGAATCGACGATTACCGATTCTGTGCGAGATCTGATGATATAAGATTTGGTCATCTGAGGGATCGTTAATAAGCCCTTTGGAAGTGATAAAATACAACGAAATAGCTGTTTGATACTTCCTGCTTCTCAATATTTGTCTAGCTGCACCCAGTCTGTAACGTAAACAATTTTTATACCAATCTATAAAACTTCATTTAGTAATTCGTTATAGAATTTATAAATACCGATCAATTTCAATAATAAATCATAAATAATGACATGAAAATCGAATGTTTATGGCGATTCCACAATTCAAGAATTAACTAATAAGAAATCGTAACTGATGGAGTATAACCATCTCTCAAGTACATCGATTACCACCGTTAACAATTATTAGTAGTTGGGCAGTTGCTCGTGAATTAAATGAAACTGAACGTATTGACCGGTGGTAACGGACTTAGCGGTGTAACGATAGCGGGTTTGTTGAGGGGTCTGAATGTTTTGGGTAAGAACAACTAAACGGTACAAAACTAAGAAACTACATATGAACCTCTCGTCTCAATTTCTCAGTTGGTATCAGTTTGTGGAGATTGTGAACATCATGTCTTTCAAAGTACTACATGTAGAGTAGTCTTGACGATAAGTTTTATCGTGTTGTGGAATGTATAGAACTATTTGTTCATAAGTGTAACAGTACAAAATTATTTGACGCTAAACATAGTTTATGATGACCACAATTTCTTTTTCTACACATGTTTTATACTCTTCAACCACTTCCAATTATCGACTAACTTTTATCTTGACGTTACTTTTGATAGAATCACTGTATTTTAGGACTTTCAGTGTTTTGT